CCACGAAGATCAAGTTTAGGGAGAAAATCAATAATAAGAAGACCTAGGGTCACAAGTTCACAAGTAATTAATATTCCAGGATAAAGCATAACAATCAATAATTAACATTGCACAAGTAACATGATTAACAGGTTCTCGCAATTTATTAACCAACATGGATCTAACAGGCTCTCGCAATTTATTAAATCTAAGTTCCTATTGAAAATAACCTTTAATATCAAATTAACATCTGCTCGATTCAACAATTCAATAATGCTATACTTTTACAATCAAATCAATCTGCTCGATTCATAATCCAATTGTAAAGAATTAAAACAAATCAATAAGAAATTATCAGGCAATATTAATAATCAAAAATAACAAATTATCCCTTCATATTAATTATGGATCCCCATAAAACCTAGAATTAAACTACTCGGACATAATTAAAAATAAACTAATCAAAGAAATTAAACGAGTCATGAAGAAACAAAGTAATTAAATTGCTGAAATTAATAAAATAAGAAATCGTTACCAAAGTAATCGGAATTAAAGAGTTGATTCAAGAACAAGAGTGAGTTATAAGAGAGAGAAAACTAGATAGAGAAATCATCTAAGTAGAGAGAGAAAGTCTAAGAGAAGAGGTACTAAGGAAAAGTATTAAAATCGTACTTAAACAATAATCTAAAATTACTCCTAATTAAAACTAAGAAATCGCCGAAGATGCCTCCCCAGAAACACGCGCCCGATCGAGCAAAGGGCCGCCCGATCGGGCCCGCGTTTTTCATCGCCCTCCTATTCTGGGCATCCACTCGATCGAGCCTATGCTTGCCTGATCGGGCCCGGCTTCTCCTTGAAGCTTGGAACTTCGATTGGGCTTACTTCTTAGCCCAATCCGGATATCCACCTAGGGTCTTGAATACTCGGTCCAACGCTCGTGTTCCACAAGTCGAGCCCTTAATCACCGGATTGATGACTCTAACCGACCGTGGGCTTTAAAAACGGTTGTGCTCCTCCAATGTCCGTAGTTGCTCCATGAAAATCCGGGAAAATGCTCCAAAAGTGCAATTTCCTACAAAACTCAACCAAAACTATGAAAACACTAGAAAACACCAATTAGTAATAAAAAGTGGCTCTAAAGATGTACTCAACTCTCATTTATGTGGCGAGTAAAAGATGTACTCGATCACTCTCTATCCCAACCCCTTTAATGAGAACAATGCCCTCCCAACTCACACTCTCGTGTGTTTAAAAAGATATACACTCAACCTACTAGTCGACTCGAAATATGTCAAATCATAACTTGCATTGATAAACAACACTTCAACATTCATACAAGTCTATGCACACCGGTCAGAAGGTCTCTAAAGCTTGTAATGTAAGTCTAGGGTAAAGGGTAGAAAACATTTAGGAAAATGTGGGAGAAAAGCCATGCTTAAGGGAGTCATATCCTAACAAAACCAAAGGTTAAAAATAAACAATTACCAAATCATCTCCAATCATAATTTAACTCCACAAAAGTTCACCAAACAATCCCATACATAACGACAATCCCAACACTTACACATTCACTCACAAAAATATGATAATAAAGAATTAGAGTGAAATAAAACAAACTTTGAACTCATTCTTTTTTTTACTTTTTTTTCAAACTTGAACTTCTTTTTTTTTTTTTTTTTTTGAGCAACCTTCACATAGAATATTTGAACATTCGAAACATTTTTTTTTTCTTTTGCTCTTTTTTCTTCTTCTTATCTCACATTGGAAATTTTTTCATCCTTGATCAACAAACTATCAACAATTTTTCCGACCACAAAATCAAAAGAACAAACACTCTTTTTTATTCCCACATTGTGCAAATAATATGCACACCACAACTCCCTCACCTCACCAACTAATAGCTCCCCCAAGCCAAGCTTGGGACTAGTAACCAATGGGGCTCATATAGGCTTGTAATGTGGCTAAATAATCAATAAAAGGGCACACACAACAACATGGGAAGCAAGATGGGAACAAATGTATCTAATACCATCGGTAGGCTACCTAAAAGAACAAATGCCTTTGTCCTCCTAAATGTGCATAATATTGAGCCATACAAACATTACTCATAGTTGCAAACCAATACTAAAATTCATTGACATACCAGGAACTATCACACAATTCCTAACAAAATCAACTAGTCAAGCACAATATTCACAAATAGTTGGCAAAATTGACGCATGTTTAGGAATCCGAACAATCAAATCTCAAATCATGATCAACAAATTCACAATGCTCATTATCATAACCAAGAATCAAAACAATATTTTTCAAGTATGGGGCACAAGGAAGCATGATTTACAATTCATTGGAACGTATTTTTGGATTTTTTTAATATTAATTTTTTTTTGTATTTTTTATATAGGAAAGCAATAAAACTACTCTAAAAAGCAAATAAAACTATACTAGAAAGCACTGAATAGAAAAAAGAGAGAGAGTTACCGTATGTAAAAGATCATCTCCCCGCAAGCCAAATCAAGCAATGCCCTCATTGACTTGGGACTGTAGCTAGGAGTAGCTACTCCTCATCATCATCCTCATCCATCCTCGAGTAGCCTCCACCATGGCTAGAGCCGACACCTCAATGGCTTGAACCAACGCCACCATAACCCGAACCACCTACAATGTAGTTAGGGTCCACATTCCCCCCAACCCCACCAATAGGAGCATCGGTCCCATAACCATGGACCGAAAAATAGTCCACATAACTACCATAGGCACTGGGGGTCGAATACCCTCCTTGGGGGTATTGAAACCAATCGGGAACAAGAGCCTAAAGGGGAATAGCCCCTCGGCGGGCATAGTCATCATACGTGGGGTATAAACCCCTCCCTAGGTTTCTCTCCACATACCCAACCCTCCTATCTAGAGAACCTACTTTAGTGTTAAGGTTTTTCACTAAACCCTCTACTTGTCCTTGTCCCCTCTCAATCCTAGAGTTGACTCCTAAAAGCCGAAAAGTCATATGGGGCATGAGGATCAATGTTATAATCAACGGAAGAGGTAGGGATATCATGTGTGTAGGGTTGGGGTGGTGATTGGAATTGAGGTTGTGGGTGGGGTGGTGTATGGTGAGCTGCTTGAGCCTCCCCTTGACCATCTAACTCGAATGTATAAGAAGGCTTACCCTTTTAAAACTTAGTCAAGGTGGGGTTAGGTAGCTTAAAGGCTTGGTCCCTCTTACCCGACTCTCGATGGATTATCCACCACGTCTCACCACCCATGGGTTGGATCCAATTAAGGCCTCCTAGATAAGCAAGGTCCATAAGGGTAGAACCTTCTACTTTCCTATGGTCGGTAGGGATGAAACCTAGATGTTTGACCGCAATATGGGTAACCAACCCACCAAAATAAATTAATGCCCTACACCTACCCCCTCAGCCGCATTGGCCGCCCTTTGGAAGTGTTGGGCTATCCTATGCGGGATGTTCAATCTCTCACCTCTAGGGATCACATAGGAGGCCAACAACTCTAGCTCATCCCTCCTTACATTAGCCGGTTCATGCCTCGCAAAGATGGTGAGGCCAATAAACCGTTGCAAAAATTTTGGCACGGGATGTTAAATCTATGTTCCCTTGGCATGTTGGAGGTTAGTTAAAACCTCCCCTGTGAGTTTTTTATAGACCACGACAATATTGTCTTGGGATGATTCAATAGGTTTATCCGATTTCAACTCAAACAATTTACCAAATCCTTTAAAAGTCATTCTCACATCATTGTTAAGCAATCGGAATTGAACATAAGTAATCAAAGCATTAGATTTAATCACATTAAAACTAGAAATAAATTCCAAAGTGAAATAATCATAAGTATCATAATGCATTTGAAAGAAACCACTCATTCGAATACCCTTAAAAAAATTTCTACCGGTTTATCAATTCCTAATCTAGACAATGTAGGATGATGCACAAAGCGAGTAAAAATTACCTGCCTCTGAATGAGGTTAAGCATCCTAGCCCGTTGTTCGGTTTAGGTGATCACCACCTCGCTCCACCCCAGAATTTGGAGTTCCGGGTCAACCATTGGTGGTTTTACTGTAGTTGCCTTGAACTTTCACCCCTTTGTTTCCTAGATCTCTTGGAAGCCATTTAAGTGGGAATTTGAAGCTATCTCTCTCTTAGGGTTTTCACAAATGTTGAGAGAAAGTTGGAAATATTGTACGGAGAATGTAGAGGAAGGTGAGAGGATGAAGATTATGTGAAAATTTATGAGTTTTGATGGGAGAATTTGAGGAGCTCTTGAAGACAAGGTGAGTTTGAAGGTATGAAAATGGAGTTTAGAGAGAGAAAGAGTGAATGAAGAAGATGAAATAAGGAGGAAAAGAAAAGAAGGGAGGAGAAAAGAAGGTTAGGTAACACGGCTTAATTTAGGCGCGCCCGATCGGGTGAATTACTAGATTCTCAAAGCTGCATTTGCGCGCTCGATTGGGCGACCTCCGCCCGATCGGGCACGAACTCGAAGTCTTTTTCTCCATCCAATTCCCCTGATCGGGCGAGATTCTCCCGACATATCTTTTTGTCTTCACTCGATTTCTCCAGAATTGCGCCCGATCGGGCACCTTCGCTCGATCGGGCGAATTTCCCTTGAATTTCTTTCCTCACTTGCGCCCCGATCGGGCGAATCAAAGATCCAAAATTTCTTCACTTGCGCGCCCGTTCGGGGCTCCTTGCTCGATCGGGCGAATTCTTGCTCGATTTCGTGCTTTACTTGCGCGCCTGATCGCGCGAGCTACGCCCGATCGGACCCCTGCCTAGCTCGGAGTACACAACTTCTTCTACTTTTTCACTTTAAATATCCTTACTTGTTAATTCAATACCTGTACAGAAACACTTTTGAAAGGTAAAATTGCACTCTCCTCACCTCTCTAAAAAAAATAAAATAAAGGAAAGGAAAAACTAGTCTAGAGCGCAAGAAATACGGGTTGCCTTCCGCAAAGTGCTGGTTTATCTAGGTCCCGCACAACCTTCTTACCAGAATGTAGCTCATGATGGAAGTGGAGTTAGGAGGGTTTCCTCCACATCTCTAACAGTAGCGCCCTCATGATACACCTTCAATCGTTGGCCATTCACCTTGAACTCTTCACCTTCGTTATTCACTAGCTCAACCGAACCAAACTTGTTCACCTTAGTGACAGTGAAGGGGCCTAACCACCTAGACTTTAGTTTTCCTGGAAAAATCATCAATTTAGAGTTAAAGAGTAGAACCTTTTCGCCTGGTACGAACTCTTTTGGTAGGATCCTCTTATTGTGCCACTTCTTGGTGTTTTCCTTGTAGATTAGCGCACTATCATACGTCGACAATCTAAACCATCCAACTCATTGAGTTTGAGAAGTATTTTCTTACCCGCAACCTTAGAATCCATGGTAAGCTCCTTGATTGTCCAAAAAGCGTTGTATTCCAACTCCACGGGAAGATGACATGCCTTCCCATATACTAATCTATAAGGTGAAGTACCTATTGGTGTTTTAAATGCAGTTCGATACGCCAAAAGTGTGTCATCTAGCTTCATACTTCAATCTTTCCTTGACTTGGCTACTACCTTCTCTAGAATCGCCTTGATTTCCCTATTAGAGACCTCAATTTGACCACTGGTTTGAGGGTGGTAACTAAGTCCGATTCTATAATATACTCTATGCTTCTTTAGGAGGTTGTCCAATTGTCTTTCATGGAAGTGAGTACCTCCATCACTAATGATAGCTCGTGGACACCAAACCTTGGAAATATAGTCTTCTTGTAGAGCTTAATGACTACATTGGCATCATTTGTTGGTGAAGCTATGGCCTCGACCCACTTGGACACATAGTCAACGGCTATAAGTATGTAACAATTCCCATTGGAAGATGGGAACGGTCCCATATAGTCAATCCCCCATACATCAAATATTTCTACATCAAGAATTCCAGTTTGAGGCATCTCATGCCGCCGCGAGATGTTGCTAGTCCTCTGGCAAGAGTCACAAGCCTGCACAAAACTGTTAGCATCCTTAAATATTGTGGGCCGGTAAAAAACCGACTCATTAATCTTGGCCACCGTTTTGGTGGGGCCATGATGTCCTCCATAAGGTGAGGTATGACAATTAATAAGTACGCCGTGAACTTCCCATTCGGGAACACACCTGCGAAATAATCCATCACCCAAGAAACAAAAAAGGACCATCCCAAAAATAATATTTAACATCAGAAAGGAATTTCTTTTTCTGTTGGTATGACAAGTCAGGAGGTAGAGTACCACCCACTAAATAGTTAGCAAAATCGGCATACCAAGGGTGTTTCTCTACAACAAAATACAGGTTGTCATCAAGGAAAGAATCATCTATAGGAAGAGAATCCTTACCCTCATCATACCTGATACGTGACAAGTGGTCTGCCACCACGTTCTCTGCACCCTTTTTGTCCTTTATCTCAATATTAAAATCCTGAAGTAAGAGAACCCAACGGAGTAGCCGAGGCTTTGATTCCGCCTTGGCTATAAAGTACTTTAAAGCTGCATGATCAGTAAAAACAATAACTTTAGAACCAAAAATATATGATCTTAATTTTTCTAAAGCATAAATCACAACAAGAAATTCCTTCTCTGTGGTAGCATAGTTGACTCGGGCCTCATCCAAAGTTTTACTTGCATAATAAATAGCATGCAAAACTTTGTTCTTTCTCTGTACGAGCACGGCTCCTAGTGCAAAGTCACTTGCATCACACATAATCTCGAAAGGAAGATTCCAATCAGGTGCACATATGATGGGTGCCGATATCAAAGCCTATTTTATCCTATTAAAAGCCTCAAGACACTCGTCAGTAATAACAAAAGGGGCATCCTTGAGTAAAAGCTGAGTTAGTGGTTTAGCAATTTTAGAAAAATCTTTGATAAACCGACGATAAAACCTCGCATGACCTAAGAAACTTCTAACTCCCTTAACCGTAACAGGGGGAGGTAATTGCTCAATCACATAAATCTTAGCTTTATCTACCTGTATACCCTTATCAGATACAATATGACCCGGAACTAATCCCTTTGTCACCATAAAGTGACATTTCTCCCAATTTAGAACCAAATTACATTCTTCACATCTTTTAAAGATTTTAGCTAGATTTGCTAAGCATGCATCAAATGAAGAACCATACACACTAAAATCATCCATAAAGACTTCCATAATAGACTCTATGAAATCATAAAAAATTCTCATCATGCAATGTTGTAAAGTAGCGGGGGCATTACATAAACCAAATGGCATCCTACGATATGAAAAAGTACCATAAGAACATGTAAATTTAGTCTTTTCCTAATCTTCAGGGTGAATTGGAATTTGGAAAAATCCTGAATACCCATCCAAATTACAAAAGAACTTATGATTAGCTAACCATTCAAGCATTTGATCAATAAAGGGAAGGGGGAAGTGGTCCTTTTTAGTGGCGATATTTAATCTACGATAATCAATGCACATACGCCACGACCTTGTAACAATTCTAGTGGGAATTAATTTTACTTTTTTCGTTTTTAATCACAGTCATCCCACCCTTTTTAGGAACCACTTTTACAGGACTTACCCACTTAAAGTCAGAAATAGGATAGATAATACTTGCATTAAGTAATTTCATAACCTCTTTCTTAACTACTTCCTTCATATTAGGATTCAACCTTCTCTAAGGTTAAATAAAGGGCTTATAGTTGTCCTCTAAATGTATCCTATACATACAAAAATCAGGGTTAATACCCTTAAGATCATCAATACTGTACCCAATTGCTCTTTTATGGGTTTGAAGAACCTCTAGAAGTTAGGAAGTTTGTGGATCATCAAGTGCAATACTGATGATCACAGGGTATAGAACCTGCTCATCAAGAAAAACATAATTTAAATGAGAAAGGAGAGGTTTTAGTTCAGGTTTCTTAACCTCTGCAGATTTTGATTCCTGAACTAAATTCACTACTTTCATGGTCTCTTTGGGGTCTAGCTCTTCTAGGGAAAGAACTTTTTCAATGGCATCCACCTCATTACCCCAAACGCTTGCATTATCTACAGATAAATCTCCACAAAGAATTTTCTCCAAGGTATCCCTTGCAAGATCCTGTGGTAAGCTTTCATCAAAAATATACTCCATTATATCAATCACATCAATTAAACAATAATTTTCCTCTAGCATAGGTCCTTTCAAAACTTTCCCTAAATTAAAAGTAACATTATCATCACCAACAAAAAGGGTTAGTTTACCATTTTAACATCAATAATGGCTCCTGCAGTATGGAGAAAATGCTTACCTAATATAATGGGAATTTGTGTATCCTCAGCTATGTCTAAAACAACAAAATCAACAGGGATAAAAAATTTACCAACTCTGACAGGGACATCCTCTAACATACCTAAAGGGTACTTAACAGAACGATCTGCCATTTGTAGAGTTATATTAGTAATTTTTAAATCACCCATACTAAGTTTAGAACATACAGACAATGGTATAACAATGACACTAGCACCCAAATCACACAATGCTTTATCAATGAAAACATTACCTATATGACAAGTGATAGAAAAACTACTAGGATCCTTTAACTTAGGAGGGGATTTATTTTGCGATAAGGCACTACATTCCTTTGTAAAAGCTACAGTTTCTACCTCATCAAAGGCCTTTTTCCTAGTCAAAATATCTTTCATATATTTAGCATACGCAGAAACTTGAGTGATTAAATTAGTGAAAGAAACCGTTACCTGCAAGTTTTTCACAACCTCCAAACACTTACCTAAATGTTTATCAAACTTACTCTTCAAATGTCTATTGGGGAATGATAGTTTGATAACTTGGCACTGCACATCTCCTCCCTTATCTTGAGATTTACCCTGCAAAGAATCATTAGAGGGATTAGTATCTTTTTGTAGCCCTGTAGGGTTAATAGGATTAGCATTTGGTATAAAGGAATTAGGATCAGGAATAGGTCCATCTTCCTTTGGCATAGGAGGTCCATCATAATGTGAACCACTCCTTAGAGTGATTGCATTGGCATGATCTGTGGGATGAATTGGTTGTGATGGTAGAGCTCCCTGTTGACGGGTTTGTAGGGTAGATGAAATTTGCGCAATTTGATTATCCATAATTTTATTGTGGGATATATTGAATCAATTTGTGCATCCCTACTCTCCATTGTGCTTTTGCATGCTTGAAAGTATTGCTCTAATTTCTGTCATAGCAGGGTCAGAAGATGAGGAGGTTTGTGATTAGTTTTTCTGGCAAAAATTACGATGGTAATATTTTTGCTGTGGTGGGGGTTGCTGTCTTGTTTGTTGTGGAGGTGGAGGGTTTTGTACATTGTTACTCCGGTAGGAAAGATATGGGTGGTTCCGGAGGCCAGTATTATAAGAGTTAGAGTACGGGTTATTTTGCCTGTAGGTTTAAAAGGCATTAACTTGCTCTATGGAACTCCTACAATCTTGCTCTCAATGCCCTACAATTCCACAATTTCCATAATTTTCAAAGAAAGCTTCATTGTTAGCAACAGCAGAAACATTAGATACAGAGTAAGGAGCAAAAGTAAGATTATCTAGTTTCTAACTAATATATGTTAACTGAGCTTGCAAAAAGGATACATAAATGATATTATGTTTTCCTTTGTTAGCAAACCCTCTCGGATTCCCATATTGGGAATTGTGTATTGCCATATCTTCGACAACCTATCTTGCATCTTCCACATTAAGATTCATGAATCTCCCACTAGCAGCAGAATCTAAAATTGATCTTGATGAATTTCCAAGTCTATTGTAAAAGGTTTGGATCAACTGCCATTGTGCAAGATTATGGTGGGGCATTCTCTCTGTAGATCCTTGAACCTCTCCCAAGCCTCATATAGAGTTTCATCGCCCCCTTGGCAAAGTTCTGAATATCACTCCTGGGTACAGCTGTTCTCTCTGCAGGGTAATATTTATTATAAAAATTCAAGGCAAGAGTTTCCCAGTCAGTAATACCAAGTGCAGTTCTGTTCAAACTATTAAACCAGAATTTAGCTTTTCCACATAATGAAAAGGGAAAAATAATATCCCTGATTTGAACCTGCGTGACCCCAGCTTGTCTAATGGTGTTGCAATACTGGCAGAAATCTGCAATGTGAAGATTAGGATCTTCACCCTTAGCTCCACTGAATTGCTTCCTCGCTATCATTGTGATAAATTGGGGTTTAATTTCAAATTGTACTCCATCAAGTGCGGGAGTAGGAGTAAGATGTGGAAAATCTGTCAGGGTTGGTAGCGAATAATCGCTGAGCTTCTTAGGTGCTGCCATCTTTGATTCTGGATCTGAAGGGATTTCTGAATCACTGGAATCAGTTGGATGGTCTCTTCGATTATTGTTTACCTCAAAGACCGTCAGGATTTGTCTGTAGAGATTCTTTTGTCTATGGAAAGAGAGCTCGATCTCAAGATCAAATGGAATGTAACCTGATCTGGAACACCTGGGCATAAACAAAGAACTAAAAGACAAATAAGAGAATTGCCTCACAGAATCTAGACTACAAAAATAATCAGAATATAAT